GGTATGTGGTATGTAAGGAAACGTCGCGCCCATTGCCGCGCCCGACGAAGCGACAACTTACGATTCTCTTGCCAGTCTCCCTCGAACAACTGAAGTGAGAGGACTCAGACAAGCAGCGCGTTCGGCAATAATTAGGCGTATGCTTGGTCGTGCGGCACGTTATGTACGTATCTGCTGCCTCACTTGCGGGCGGACTCGAAACTACACCTGGACAGCACTACCCTCCCGACTCGTTTCGCCGCAATTCTCGAGTCACGAAGGTGACACGCTTCTACGCCTGCGCACCCGTTTGTGCGCACCGCGCACATGGCAAGGATTAGGATCCCCAAAGGTTGACCGTACAAGGTATCTTAAAATCCTCCCAATGCGAAGGTGTAGGACTAATCGAGCATTCGGCATGCCAAATGTGACTGCACTCACACCCAGAACTAAGACTTCTCGAAGATTTTTCTGCAAAAGTTTGGCCTCAATACCTTCCGGGGACTCTCAATGACGAGTCATTTTCTGACGTTGAGGTTACGCCCCTAAAATTTTATAGCGCAACCAGTGCAGCTTTGTAGAATGGACTTATGTCTTTCAGGTAAAGAGCTCGAGGATGGTCTCACTCTAGCGGATCAAAACATCCGACATTTGTCGACACTTCATCTTGTGCAGAGGGGAATACAAATCTTTGTAAGATCCCTGACTGGAAAGACTAACATACTGGAGGTAGAACCCTCTGACACTGTCGAGAATCTGAAGGCTAAGATACAGGACAAGGAAGGATTCCCACCAGATCAGCAGCGACTCATCTTCGCTGGTTCGTGCCTGTTTTGTCTCCTGATCGTGTGAATGACTCGACTTTAATGACTATGAGTAATATGCTCGTTCAGGGAAAAAACTTGAGGACGGTCATACACTCTCGGAATACAACATCCAGATGGGATCGATGATTCATTTAGTGGTAGCTCCTCACAAAGAATAATCGAGTTCGACTGATGTTTTGTATGGGTAACGCCCAATCATGGGCTCTAATAAACTATGCGAATTGATACTCTCTATATTTCGTCTGAAAATCAGCGAAAACAATACCGTAATTCCAATCATCAACGAACATTACTACTATTTGATGGCTACTTTCAAGTGTCATTGAGGCAAACGAATTTGAACAAAAAATATTCGTTATAATTCCAGGAAGTAAGAGAGGTGGAATTTCCTCCAAGAAAAGCTGCAGCAACACTTTCCACTTTTTCTCTGTAAGCAACTCTAATCATCCTAACGTTGGAAATAGCAGTACGTTGCGAAGCGACGCTGTAGCGCTACAAGTCTGAACGCTGCCTAACGCCTGCCACAGTCAACCACCGTCCACCAGCGACCAGCAGCAAACTGCTGGTAGAGAGTAGATGAGGCGATACCAGCTCGATACTCCTGGACGCTGCTATGTCGCTGGATAGAGCTGGCTAGACGCTAAATAGATCATCTGTTTTCGCTACCGCTGATGCCGCCAGATGGTCCAACGCTTGTGGATGCCTAGCAGACGCCGGTGATCGCTGGTCGCGGAAACTATGACGCGGCCTACTGCCAGCCGGCTAGCCGTGTACAACTCACACGCGTGCGCTAAATGCGCGCAGTTTCTTCACGGCACCGCGGCGACGGGCGGGCGAAGGGTGATCGCTTGCGCCTCCGCCACTGTGCTTCAATCAAAAGTCCCTTTTATGCCCCATTCATGTGGAAGGAGGAGGAGGAGGAGGAGAGAAAAGAGGATTGAACAAATAGTGAACGCTCATAGGTGAGTTAGTGGTAATGGTGAGCAGAGAATACAGAAAAGTCGAGAATCAGAGCGTATTATTTCAAGGTCACGCGAGCGAAGCCGCAGACATGTGATTCCTTCGTTATAGCGTTATAAGGTCACAACCAACTGTTGGTGCCAAACCTCAGCTTGAACTTTCGTGTAAAAGCTGCTTGCGTCGTTTTCACTATCGAAGGGAATATGCGTCAGTTCTGCCATTCACTGAAGTAAATCGTGATAGTCGACTTTTCTGTGATCTCCTACCACTACCACTAACTCACATATGCACCCACTATCTGTTCAATTCCCTTCCTCTCTCTACTTTTCCCTCCTCTTCCCTTCCACATAAAAGAGGCTGTCGGATCTGGATGCACAGGTCGCGAGCGCGGGCCAATCCTTCACATGAGCGCCGTCTGCGCGCGGGCGCCGTGAAGGAACCGCACCGCATACGCGCATGGGTGAGTTTTTCCCTTCCCCCCCTGCCGGCGCACCAACCGCCCTTTTTTGCTACACTTCCAGTAGTAGTACTTGTTGATTGATCCATTGAAATTATAATAGGGGACAAATCCGAAGTTATGAACAGCCCTAATTCTCAAAGTAGTAACAGTTGCAACATTCCAAACACTTACCTTTCCGAAGAACAACACATTTCATATTTGATATTCCATGATATTTGACATTTCATATTTCACATTTGAGATATAAAGGTACCCCCTTCTTGCTCACTTCTGAGGATTACCCCCTTCTTGCTCACTTCTGAGGATATCTGGAGCAGCTATATATAGTCGTGGTCGACATGGGGACGTCGCGCGGCCAAGTGAGCACGACATCGAATATCCGATACGCATCTGGATCGGATACCGTCGATGCTTGGTAGACCCTCTGTCCCGCAAGGTCCAAGTAGTACTGAGGCATTCTGACAATAAACACGGACCTTGAGCACACTTTCCCTCTATTCCAACTGGAAAACAAACAAGTGGTGCATCTTCAGAACCCATTATTGTCAACGTGTTTTCATCCCTTTTCCCGTTCTTTTGAACACACGGGCTCAGTCATGAAAACAAGTCATCAAGCACGACTAATGAAGCCCGTGTCAACGGTGCCGGTCCCCGAAGTGGTCGTTGAGACCCTGCGGATCGATTAAGCTTTTTGCATCAATTTCCCGTTGGCACGAATCTCAACATTGTCGTCTGCAGCTGTCTGCGCCTCTTTTCACCATCCGCTTGAGTTTTCTCATGGGGAAAATCCGGTTGTGACTTTTATCTGGGCAGATCTCCTTTTCCTGTTCGCTTCTGCATATCTGGCAGTTTTCAGAAGCATATTTCGCCATTGCAAAGTCGTTCTGGAAACCAGAACGAATGCTCCAGCTTACTGAAAAATGAAGAAAGATGCGGAAAAAAACAATAAAGAAGTGCGTAATAAGGCCCTTTTTAGCAGCTGCTCATCGCTACTGGATCAGTATGGTTACGTGAAGCGACAGGCGAAGAAACTTTGCTGTTGCGGAAGAGGGACTAGACAACAAAGGGCAAGAGCGCAGAACGCCGAAAACCCGACTCCTCTTGATGGCTCGCCCATTAGCTGGTAGCGAGTCGAAACTTTCAGAGCGCGGGGCCTAGTAGTACCCCTCCTAAGCTGACTAATGCCTCATCAGCAGCCATCCAGTCTCCTCTAGCAGTTGGACGCACCTCGCCAGCAGCTTTCGGCGCTGAAGGAGGCCACCCCTCGAGAGTAGGCGACTACGGCAACTCTGTTCGCCTGGCCGCTCCCTTTGCTGAGGTAGTGATTCCTCCGCCCCCCCCCACCTCCCTGAGCTCAGGCTTCAAGAAACGCGTACAACCGTAGTCGCTGCAGCGTGGTATCGCTGTGTAACCCCTTCCGAGGGCACAAAATTTTCGCAAAATGCGATCTTCTTCGAAATTTCCTCTCCTGATAAGACCTCCTACCTTCCCTATCCCCATCCTACCTACCATGTTCCTGAATTTTCCCCAGTACTACACTACTTTTTCCTCCCAGTTTTCCAATGAAAAGTTTTGCGGTTTTCCTTCAAAAACTGAAGTCGTAGAGGGGGGGGGAAGTTCTACAGGTATAGAGCAGCGCCGCTTGAGAGAGGAAAATCGCAGAAGAAGTAAACACAATATAATGTCAAGCGTAGTACGACCTCCTCCACCAGCGACAAATACATCCGGTGGGATCCTCACCGTACGATGTGCCCTGCTTTGACCACGTTTAGCGCCGTCTTTTCTGCGATTACAGTAATCGGAATGCTGATTTCAACGCGATTGCATGTGAGAGTCGATCGCAGTAGGTCTTGTAATAATGTTTGTCCGAAAACTCAACTTGTAGGACAGTCACGCGCGCCAGGTGAGCTAGCGAGGCAGATATTGCGCTTGCTTGTTATTGACATAACACGTAGAGTAGTCCATGGCCTTCCTTTCTACGCCCAGAATAGTCCAGTGTAGTGATCAATATCATCCCAGTAACCCTATACTGCCCTGTCTACTATCATGACCAGAATTTGCGCGTGGGATCAAATACGTGAACTTCACGGGAAAGGACTCAGCTCTGCATCTGAAGTTATTTCCGGCCCCCTAATGGATCCCCTAATGCATTTAGTAAATCATACGTGCCATTTGCAGAACGGATGAATGCCGTTGCCATGGTGGACGTGTTTTCCATCGCAATAACCAAAACACTAGCGAAGCGAATTAGAGCGTGCACTTTCTGTGCGGCACAAAAACACTGCGATAGATAGCATTTGTGCCCTGCATGCTAAAATCCAATAAGCGTCAATATTGCTGCAAATAGACTGCACAGCCACACATACTGTAACTGAATACGCAAAATAGAGGTAATATATGGCCTATGAACGGAGCCGAAGGACACATTGTGCCAAAATAGGCAAACAACGCGTTAGCGCGACTAAAAATGAAACTTCGCAGAATGCATCCAGTATATCTAAGAGACTTTGAAAGTCCTGGTGTGAACGCAGGGCGAGCAGTGTCAAAATTTATTCAATTTCGAAGCCGTTTCGCTGCATCCACCGCAACTCGGGTTACCCGCCCGGGTCAGGTGTGACGGTCACACCTGGTTTTTACAGTGTACACGCACTAAATTTCGAAAGAGCAATTGCACTTTGATCAGCAACGGTGGCTTTCTGACAACAACGTCGTCATTCCTGACCTTATCACACCTGCAACACACACCGTAACTAGTTCATCTAAGAACGAAAGATCTTTATTTCAGCGGTCGCTGATCAATTTCTTCTGGGATGGCACGCATTCTACTTTCCATCAGAACCGTAGTGGGTTATGAGCGGTGTGGCGCTTTACAATGACTTGCAGGACCTGCCCATGAACAACGTTCAGTCGTGTACCTCTCACCTACCAGACGATCGCCGGGTACACAGTTTACCGTCTCCGCGAAGAGCATTGCTAGGTGTTCTGGGCGGAGCCGATCCGGGATTAGACCGTGCCGCTCTCTACTACACCACCTTCACCTCACCAACATGTCTGTTTCAGTGCAGTTTCCAGCTTTTCATATCCGTTAATCTCACCTGGATGGACTCCGGGTAAGCGATACAGCTGAGGTTTGTTTCAGGAACAGAGAACAAACGAGCCACAGGTTTTTAGTGTTTTCTTGGGGTAAAGCTTTTGTTCCTTTTTTTGGTTTACAGAGACGATTCTCCAAAGGAATTCTCCTCCTTATCACTAGATAACGGATTCATCATTAAAATTGTTCGCCCTAATATTTCGCAAGTCGTAGAATGGAATCTGTATTAAAGTGCAAAAGGGTATAGAAGAAAATTTATCTAAAAAAATGCGTAAAGAAGCGTAACCACCTAGCTTATGAGTTGTTTTCTCCATTTAATTAACCAATGGAACTCGTTATCGAAAATCCAGCCGGCAATTAAACACGTCGATGTCGGCGGTAACTGCACGGCAGCCCTGTCATAAAATCCATCGTTATAAATGATGCTAGACCGAGGCACGGCACTTCGAAGACAGAAGCTCGAATCGGGCATTCATCGTTTAAGGTAAATGCATAGGAAAGTTCTATTCCTTTTTTAAAAGATTAGAGATTAGAGGGGAGGTTGTATTCTCTCTTAAAGGCAGAACCCGCGATTACTCGCCATCTCAGATGGTGGATTAGGGGGTTCCATATAGACGACAAGGGGTTGAGTAACTCGACTGTAAACAAAAAGCACAAAAAAACATGCCACCTGCCCTAGATAGAACCCATTTCGATCCCAGTTTGTACGTGCCCAATCAACTATCTCCAAAACTACGCCCTCATATGCACGGCTGATTCACCGATAAGATTTCTACGATCGTACAAGTGGCGATTATCATGCTTTTTCGTCCTGCAATCTCATTTTTCACTGGAAGTCGGTCATTAGGGGCGGAGTCTGGAGGCGGAGTCACTGGAAAAAAGGAGGAGCCACTGAACCTATATTGCGCTACAGCGCCCCTCCCATAGAATTTTTTGCCGCGAAACCGGTACAAGGTTGTTCGTCGCGGACCTCTACCTCCTGACGCCATATTATTCACTCTCGATACCTGATCGCGACCGCTGCCTTTAAGAAAGCGCTTACTTGTCGTTGATCTTTCTCCAATCCTCGCCTCCTCTCTATCACTGTACTCCTGGGGCGAGAATTTCATAGCGAGTCGTACGTAGTCAGACGGGGAGGGGAAGAGGAAAGTGGTACGAAGACGCCTACTCGCGACAATTTTACGAGTTTTTTTTTATTTCACGAATTGCTTTGAGCAGAATTAGCATTGCCCGTAATGAGGAGCCTTGAAGAGGAGGAGTTCGGTGTGAATGTACTAACTACATTGTGCCAAAGGTGCCTGGAACGTACTCCCGTTGGAAAAAAATGCAAAAATTACAATCTCCCTCGAAATATTCCTCTTCTGATACGATTTCGCTTGCCTCCATCCCTCCAGCCTCGTACCTACCATCTTTCTGAATTTATTCAACTTCTACTTCTGCGATCTCCTCCTTCCCCATCCTCCAATCTTCCTCCCATCTTTCTGAATTTACTCAACTTCTACTTTCGCCGGTTTCTTGTCCCAAAGTTCTCCAGTTTTTCCCCTAAAATCCCAAAAAAAATTGTCGTAGAGTGTCGATGGGAAGCGGAGAGGGGGTACATGGCTCCCATGAAACGGGATAAAGACCGAGGGAAGTCATCGACCTAAGACCTTTGTCGGAGGCAAATACAACCAACGGCGTATCCTGAGAGGCATAAATCGCTGTCTTGCAAGTGACTACTTATGAACTGCCCTCCTATATTGCTTGTAATTGCGACAGTACTGGTTATTATTATTATCGAGGATTCTAAATCACTCAAAGCGGCAAAACACAGAACGGGTAAAGCGTATTTCGTATTGAAAGAATTACTATGACGTGCACATGGAACGTTCTGCCGCTCCACTTTTTCGCCACTTTGCAAGGGCAATTTCTCCGTTCGATATCAATGCAGGCCAGCTCTGCCATCGAACGCCGAAAAGAAGCATCACCCGACGTGTGCATTCATCGTTCGCACGAAATGGGACATTAACTGCAGCGCTGCTCGCCAAGGCAAAACAGACAAGCGAAGGAAGCAGACAAGTAGAGGAGAATAGTCTCCTTTGCATCATTCGGCCGAAAGTTCGTCACTCCCCCCCCCCCCACTCCACATATTCCGACGGCAGACGCGCTACATCGTCGGTAAACCAAAGTCCTGCTTCAGTCTTGGCTCGTACACTAAAGCTGAGCTGGAAAACATGAGGATTACACTAGACGACGTTCGTCAAACAGCGATCTGCTGATCCTGTCAGTCGTTCCTTTACGGGCCGTTTCCTCGCCAAACTAATTTGCTACGGTGCTTCATCTTTGAAGCTCCAGTAAGGCCTATTAAGGCGCACTACCGGCCTGTTGAGGCGGCACTTAATGGTTACTCACTGACAGTTCCTGTAACTTGTGGATACCTGGTACTTTTCTTCAAAATCAACACCTGGGCCGTTTCAGGTGGGGAGAGGTAGGTCGTATTCGCTCATCCGTTGGTTAGAGGGGGGAGGTCGCGTTTGCCTTTGAGAGAAATTTCCGAGCTCCACTGGTTTTTGAAACTAGTGGTATGTTGGTGGTCACCTCCCTAGATAGCACCTTTTCGAGGGAAAACCGGGAACATTTTTTTGAAACAGCAGGAATGAGGAGTAGAGATAGAAATTACAGTAGATGGTAGCACTAGGTGGGATTGCAAAGGGCCGGTATCGTGCCTACAGCAACTTTGTACGCTGAGAAAATACCCCAACAGGTTAACATATTGTGTTGTTGCGAGGGAGGAAGGGCGTCGTATGTTGCTCTGTCGCCTCTGAGAACAGTTTGCTTGATAGCCTGGTTTTCTTTTTTCCGAGCGCGATATTCACATCGTTACAGAGTCCCACTGGGTATGGGGTTCACGTTCTTTGCCTTGTCCGCTTCGAGACTGGGAGGCGGGGGGGGCGTCAGATTTGGTTATGGAAAAAAATTTCCTATTTCTTTCCCTTTCTTGTTTCCTGCACAACTACTATTCGAAAGTTCATTGTACTTAGTTCGTATGGTATGTACTCCAATTGAAGGCAGTTTGTTTATCTGCGGGGAAATCCGCGCAAAGGTTCTTTGTGAGAACCGCTGCGAAAAAGTGGTAGGAATGGGAAAAAGGAAGAGCAAGGGGGGGGGGGGGGGAGGGGGGCCGTACTAAAAGAGGAAATTTAGAGTCTTATTTCTGCAAAAATTCCCTCCGAGCAACACGGATCCCCTTGGTCGTTCCGGAAGAGGAAATTTCAAGGGGGGTCGAATTCCTCAAGTTTTCCTCGGCGGCAGGAAATGACTTGTTTGCCAGGCAAAACATGTTCAATCTTTTGTAAGCGATCAACAGCGTTCTGCTGCCAAGCGAGCAAAACGGGTTTTCTCCATGCTTATGTTAGCTTCGCTAAAAGTGCTGAACAACATTCTGCCAATGTGATTGTTATCTCTCTTATCATCCAATCAATTAATCGATCGATTGTTAATGACCGGGATGATCAGCTGATCGTCTGGCATGACGGCCGGCCTGTTCCACATCTTCCGTGGGCTGCCGGGTGACGAGACGATGTCCTGTGGGCGGAGCCTATTATCGATCCGCGTCACTTGTCCGGCTTGTGTTATTTCATTCTGTGAGGACGGGCTGGTTGGTGGTGCCTTGTCGTTGTTGTTCACCCGTTCCCTTCCAAAGTTTGTGTTTTTTTTCTTTTTGCGAGCAGTCCAAGCTGCCCTACTACAGCTCTGGCCGTGCTGTGTTCTGTGACCCCTGGATGTCGTTTCGCAGGACTTCCTGCGCGAGCACTATTTGGGAACCTCCCTTCGTTTTCTGTGTAGCGGCAGCCAGTTATTACATGACAGGTTTTTCTAGTCCAGCAGAACTCATCTCTCTACTGCATACGGCTTTACTGGTCAACTGTTTTATCCGGACGTCCCCTCTACGTTTCCTTCTTCTTTCGAAAAACGAAATGGTTCTTTTAGAGGGTCGGTTCTTTTTTTCGAAAACAATCCTAGCACCCGAAATCGCCTATGAATTGCCTCTCTCTTCCAGCTGTTCTCATTCTGCTATCATCTGAACATTATTTTTCGAATAGCAATTTTTTTTTACGGTTGATTCACCTGGTGCAATTTCGTAATGCTGAGTCATCAGGTGCCGATTAACGCGTCATCTTTTTCAGCATGCAGATCTTTGTGAAAACCCTAACCGGGAAAACAATTACACTCGAGGTTGAGGCCTCCGACACCTATTGAAAATGTGAAGGCAAAGATTCAAGACAAGGAAGGAATCCCACCGGATCAGCAACGGCTAATCTTTGCCGGTCAGTTTTTTGATCTGTTTGATATTACGGAATCTTGGATGACGGAAATGTTTTACAGGAAAGCAGTTGGAAGATGGACGCACTCTTTCTGATTACAATATCCAGAAAGAATCAACTCTTCACCTTGTTCTCCGTCTTCGAGGAGGAATGCAGATCTTTGTGAAGACTCTGACTCGGAAAACAATCACTCTTGAAGTCGGAGGCCTCAGAACAAATCGAGAACTGTGAAAGCCAAAGTTGGAGACAAGGGAAGGAATCACCACGAAGATCAGCAGCGGCTTATTTGGGGTGGCCGGTCCGTGCTGTTGAATTATAACAGTGGGGGGGGAGGCGAGAGAGTAACGTCTTGAGCTTGCTCCGCACATGCTTAAGGGCAGACAGTATGAAGGCGGCGGTTGCCTTACGAATTCTATGGTGAAATAAGTGTTGCGTGAATACGGGGTCGGGCGTTTTCCAAGATGGGTCCGAAGATGGAGCGTAGCTTTTGAATCTGAAAAAAAATAAACGGTGACTGAGCCGGTAGTCAAAGGCTGGGTAGACGGGGTTGCAGGTTTGTTGTCAGTCAGTTATGTTCTTGTTGCGGGGGTTCAAAGATACTCTCTCACGGCATCTACTAGTCCAGCAGCGGAAGGGAGATGGTGTTAGAATAGGGGGAGAAGGAAGAAAGACCTGAGAACCCGGTTGACATTGTCCTGACCCTGTAGGACAACGCAGGCAGTTGAGTACGTGTGCAAAAAAGTTCAGGGTATAGGGGGACCGTTCACTAGCACTTCCGTTGTCATCCCTCTGAGCAAGGCTTAGCTGTCGTGAAGACTATGCCTTCCGTGCGGAACTATACTTCAGCTACTCTGGTCTTCTGCGGTCTGACGGGTCGGGTGGCATACAACAGGGAGTGGCCGCTTCAGTAGTCCCCAACTTTCGCGCCAAATTGTAGTGTATTTCAAAGAGTCTGGTTAAAATGATACCACATACGCGTAGAGGAGTGGATTGTAAAAAAGAATGTAATAATTCGGTGCGTAACTATGCTGTTCTGTAGATTGATCTAAGGTTTTCAGGCAAGCAACTAGAAGATGGCCGTACCCTTTCCGACTACAACATTCAAAAGGAGTCAACCCTTCATCTCGTGTTGCGTCTTCGAGGAGGAATGCAAATTTTCGTAAAGACATTGACTGGAAAGACCATTACTTTGGCTGGACATGTAGACTTCAGAAGCCTCCGACACTAATCGAGAATGTGGAGGCGACGAAGATGCAAGTACAAAGAGGGCATTCACGCGGATCAGCAAAGAGCTCTCTTTCGAGAGGTGAGCAGCCTAACTACGCCTGTAACACCTTGCATCGTAATAGGCACTTATACTCGAATTTACAGGAAAGCAGCTCGAAGACGGTCGTACCCTTTCTGATTACAACATCCAGAAGGAATCAACTCTCCACCTGGTGCTCCGTCTCAGAGGAGGAATGCAAATCTTCGTCAAGACATTGACCGGAAAGACCATTACCCTTGAAGTTGAGGCGTCTGATACCATTGAGAATGTGAAAGCGAAAATTCAGGACAAGGAAGGAATTCCACCTGATCAACAGCGTCTTATTTTCGCAGGTAATAATCTTTGGTGTACAACGGCGTCTCGCTTGACTGTGTAGGTCTTCGCTGAATGAGTTTAAAGTATTTTTTCTTTTAGGAAAGCAACTTGAAGATGGGCGTACACTCTCCGATTATAACATTCAAAAGGAGTCAACCCTTCACCTTGTGCTCCGTCTTCGAGGAGGCATGCAAATTTTCGTAAAAACCTTGACAGGGAAGACCATCACTTTGGAAGTGGAAGCCTCTGATACAATCGAGAATGTGAAGGCGAAAATTCAGGACAAGGAAGGAATTCCACCAGATCAGCAGCGTCTCATCTTTGCCGGTTAGTTCGTATTCTTGGAGAGCATTCCTACTAGAATCTATGAAAAGACGGTCGATTCTTGCTTTTCAGGAAAGCAGCTTGAAGATGGACGTACCCTCTCTGACTACAACATCCAAAAGGAATCAACCCTCCATCTTGTGCTCCGTCTCCGAGGAGGAATGCAAATCTTCGTCAAGACTTTGACCGGAAAGACCATTACCTTGGAAGTGGAGGCTTCTGACACAATTGAAAATGTCAAGGCTAAGATTCAGGATAAGGAAGGAATCCCACCAGATCAGCAACGACTCATTTTTGCCGGTTTGTTCTACTTTCAGTATCAGATGGTCCAACCCTCATTCAAAAAGTGGTTTTGGTGGTTTTATAATAGCTAATATAACCGTTTCAGGCAAGCAGCTTGAGGATGGCCGTACCCTTTCTGACTACAACATCCAGAAGGAATCCACCCTCCATCTGGTACTTCGTCTTCGAGGAGGCATGCAAATTTTCGTGAAAACATTGACTGGAAAGACCATTACTTTGGAAGTGGAAGCCTCTGATACAATCGAGAATGTGAAGGCGAAAATTCAGGACAAGGAAGGAATCCCACCAGATCAGCAGCGGCTCATCTTTGCAGGTTGGTACCTTATCCCTCAGCAGTGTGACGTAACTCATCTCGTAATGCGACTCACTTTACTTGTTCAGGGAAACAACTTGAAGATGGTCGTACCCTTTCGGACTACAACATCCAAAAGGAATCGACTCTTCATCTAGTGCTCCGTCTTCGTGGAGGCAACGAATGATCGGTCTCGATATCTGTGTTCCATACGGACACGCTAATTCGAGTGCTGTAATAAACTATGTGAATCATTACTGTTTATTTTCAACTGAAACGGCAGGAAAACTCCCAATTTATCCATAACTATATCAAAAACTGTATTGAAACCAACGCACAGGACACGTAATGAATGAACAGAACGAGTACTCGAAAAAAAAATGTGAGAACCGTAATGAAATGGATGTCGGGTAGTGGTAGTCAGTCATTCGGGTACGTATTAATTCACAAAGAAATATAAAATCTACAACAACAACAAGTTCACCAAGTTGTCAGCATAATATAAATTTGTTGAGATACAAATACGAGACAAGTTACAGTATAGTCTTGTTCGCGAAGGAGGCTGGGGTGTGTCAGCGAGGCCCGGTGTTGGCCCGTTTTCCACCGATTGTTGTCCCTTGTCCTTTTCAACAATATGTAGAGAATGGGCTAGCGCCGCGCCAAACCCAACCCCTTCTGACACGCGCCAGCGTCCGAAACAGAACAAGACTGCAACGGCATGTTCCTAGCGATAAGTTATCACATTTCCATAGGTATAACGAATGAAAAACTACTGAGAGATGAGGTGGGTGGTGGGTCTACTGAATCAACCTTTCCATTGACATGCGCTTAACGGCAGGGTTAAAATCCATTTGTCCGGCCAATCGTTTAATTTCGAACAATTCACGAGCCATCGTCCTCATGCATAACCTTAAAAGTAATGGATGAAGCTAGAATACTAGACCGGCCTTCATATAGCACTGGCCAACTGTTCGGTGCATTATCTATTAGAGGATTGATGACGTGTCACTGACGTCACATAGTACTCTGAAACATAAGAACTCCCAAAGTCACGGGTTTTCGTAGGGAATGATATCATGGCGCAATCGTAGATTAGCATGGGAAGGGGCGGAATGCTACTCTGCTAGATTATGCTGCCAGCGACTACAGTCTATACATATCATAAGCTATTTAATGCTGGAAGGCAGGGCAATCATTGAATTTAGTGTGTGGTTTGGGGATTTTGAGTCGATCTGAGGGCTGACCCCCCCCCAGCCCTCTCTGTCCTTCCTCATCGAATCGCAGCCGTCAAGAGCGGGGGAGGGAGGGGCTATAGTAGGCAGAATCAGCGAAAAATCTCGACCAAAGAGGTGCAGGCCAGGCCACTCCTAGACAGGACGCACCCAAACGTGAAAATGACGGCCCCGCCCCCTCCCAAAAATGCTCAAATACGACCCCCCTCCCTTTACAACGTCCATGAAGCGAGAAAAATCAACTATCATAATATATTAAGAGTATTTTCGGCACATTGAACTAACCCTACCCCAAAAACTGAAAAAAAATTTTTCGCTGAAACGTTGCCTATAGGTGTAATTCGATGTCCTGATCACGAATATCACATTCGTTTCGAGCGCTGGCGTCATCTGGCGCCATTATGCGCCAATTTGGGCCCACCACTTTTTTCACCAAAGTCGATGACTTGCATATGGGGTTACCTGAGGTCCTGATTATGAATCCAATTCATTTTTGCTTGTTGGCGCTATTAGCGGCATTACGGCCATAATGGCGCCAGCGTTTGAAAACCAGTGTATATTCGTGATCAGGATGTCGATTAACCCCCATATGCAAGTTTTCATCAACTTTGGTGAAAAAAGTGGTGGCGCATAATGGCGCCAAATGTCGCCAGCGCTTCGAAACGGATGATATTCGTGATCAGCGCATCGAATTACATCTATAGCCCAATGTTTTCAGCCAGAAATTTTTTTGAGGTTGGGTGTAGGAATAGTTTCAATTAGTGCCAATTGTTCTCAGCCCAAATACGACCCCCCGCCCCTCCCTGGCGAACAATCGACCCCGGCTGGGCTATTATATAGGTTCCCTCCAATAGTGAGGCCTTGTGGGAGGGGTAAAGAAGAGCCGACCGGACGAAACGACTAAGTTCGCTCTCTACGCCGCCGTAGCCTGTGCCGTGAAACTAGGTAAGCATCAATCTTTTTTCTAGATCTATAGTCAACAACGCAGTAGCAACCTCCGTAAAGGTGCAAAGTCGGCGCCGGTGTCGCTAGTATGTGGTGCCTTGGAATCTAAATTTCCTTCGAACGCAGCCACATCCCTTCCTACGATTGTTCGGGAGTTGGGGTTTTGCTTGGAACGTTTCTGACTTTTTCCTCTTCCCATTGTTTTTCCGCAGCCGTTGCCTTGAAGGCCGCATTCATACCTTGCGAAGAACTGAAGAAATGCAGAATGGCAGCTGACGGAAGGGATTAGATTCATTACGACTGAAGAATGAAAAAAATGTAGGACGAACTGCGAAAATAGATCGATACGTATCTATTTTCCACCAATTCTTCATTTCTTCAATACTGCAGTTCCCCATTTCTGCAGTACTTCAGATCGATACGTATCTAATCCTTTTCGTCAATTCTGCATTTCTTCGACTCTTAATTTCTTCCCTGTCGCAAGGTATGGACGCGGCCTAATACGTCACGTACAACGATGATACAAAACAGGCTTCCGCGTTATTCACGTGTTATGTAATGCGATTGTTATTCTAACAGTTAATGAGCCTGTCCTACACCTGCACATGACACAGACAAAAAAAATTAGTTTCTCGAGTGAAACGAGTGCATACCGTTGAATAGGAGTTTTGAATACCGGTGCATTAATACGCGTAAATATTGAATCCACGAGCTGATGAAGTTTTTCCTCCTGAAATACAATTTTGTTTCGCTATAATAAGTCAGCACACAACATGTTTAAATATGAGCTTACATTCTCTTCGGTATCCTCTTCGTCATCCATTGTTTTCAATATGCAGTAATCCGCATAAATCTGCCCGACAGCGCCCCAACCCTGAACTCAGCGATAATTTCGACTCTGAAGGGCGAGAACACTTTCAAAAAGCGCAAGTTTTGTGGGTCTCCTGGAAGTGATTCCACCTTGAAGATAGATCCACTTCAAGATGCTTTTATGCTGTTTGAAGGGCAATAAAGGGCGACTGCGATGAGAGGTTTTTCAAGGGGACCAACATATTGGAGTCCCACAGTAAAACTACTAAAGCTTGGAGAAGTGGATGAGCAAGGTGGCAGTCGAGTAGAAGTTTCATCGACTCTTGCAAGATAACATCAAACAACTAACCGTTATTTTATCAGCTGCTTTTTCCATTCGTTCGGCTAAAGGACGAAGTTTGTGCAAGTCACCCATGGCGATTGCATTTGGCGCGACTTCCTCAGCGAATAACCGTAATGCAGCTGCATAGTCACCGGCGCTCAACGCGTGTGAACAAGCCATCTCATAGTCTCCTTGGGCCTGAAATGGAGCAGTGATACGACTCAGGGACAGATTTAAGCTGTTAAATATTTTCGGTGTGAAATCATTTTCGCGGAAAAAATCTCCGCGATTGCTAGGAAACTGGAAAGGAAAGCAGCATGAAGCCACACTGCACGCTTCTGCGAGACTGTACCTTTCCATGGGCGTGGTGAGCAGGTTTCGCAGCTGTAGCTTTGTACCAGTTGGCCACTTGAATGCGTGCAGTAAAGTGGCCAGGTTTGCCAATTATGGTAGCTAAATATCCTCTCATGTCTCCGCTTGCCATAACAGCACACCACAGGCGCGATCAGGACTCAAACGAAGGTGAGCAGCTGTATCCATATGAAAAAGCTGGACATATGTAGTCGCCAAGACCACAGACAACGCAACAAGGCGAGAGAGTGCAGAAGAAAAAGGATACAGAACCATTCAAGGGCATAATTCAAGTTGTCCGTAGACGTGTCTTCTGCGTTCTCGTGCATATTTTGGCTGGCTAACGCATAACTGTTTCGCCTGCCACTGAGACTTGACGCGCATACCGCACGCTTCTGGCATGTTGGGCCAAAACATACCCGCTACGAGGCTCGGCCACTAAGGTTTGTGATTATGCACACTTGCGTCAGCGCTTGCCGTAGCCCATCGAAAGCAAATTGCGTCACAGCCAAACAGTTAGGACCGCGAAACAATCGCGAGGTTTGTATCGTGCGGCCGTCTTTTGTACCTAAGCGCGTGCATTTGCCTTGAAGGCTAATGACATGAATAGGATGTGTTACCTAGCAGACCATCCTTTGCGCCTTACTACTGTGAACACTCTTTTCATAGAGGGTGTTACATCCGTTCTTGCTGGGACCTCTCCACCCCCCTGCGCGGAGAATGGTCAACGGTCACGCAAAGTAAACGTAACAGCGTGGCCTTTGAGTCCGTTGCATAATCACACATCATCCTTTGCTTTTAGCGATCTTAGCAGGCAGTCAATTTCGGCATATTCATCTGGATTTCACACGTGGCCGAGATTCGATCGTAGTCTTGCGAACGTGCTGTCAACGACATCCGATCCAAAACTTCCCGGATCGCTCCGGTCCGGCTAAAATCACAGCAGGCAGTGGAACGGTTATCGCAGTTTACAATACTGTAACGCCATTCGAGCACTTACCATTGATCATGACTGATATGACTGAGTACAAATATCGCTAGATGCCATTGTTCAAGGGATGTTAACAGTGACGAATAGGAAGTATGAAGACGTTGCTCGGCCGCTGGTGACATTGTATTGTAACCAAGTGCCTCGAAGCAGCGACCATATGTGCCAGCTGAAAAAAACCGCTTGATTCGGTGACGTCATTTCAAGAGAGACGCCTACTTGAGGAAGACTATTAACCTCAGGTGAGCATCCAGCGGGTTCGGACTAAGCATTGATGGCAGCGTCAAGAATACGCTTTCACTGATGAGCTAGCGACAGCCAAGTCGTATCAGAGCTGCAAACTTTGAATTTTTATCGGACATGGAATAGCCCATATTTCATTTTCAACTGACAAGAAACTAGTCAAATAAAAATCCAAATATTTTTCTAGTCACAAGTGACAAAAAAAACTGCACAGCGCTCAAAAGCCTCTCAATTTCTCTCCACTTTCTAGGAGCGTGCTTATAGTTCGCGATCCGATCGCTTGGATTGCCGATCGGATCGAACGCGCTCTGTGTGCGGTACCAACAACTTCACTTAAGATAGAACTGAAGAATCCTCGAAATACCTGCTCATAAACGTGCGATTCCGGCGACGCAGCTCTTCCAGCAGCGACGTCTTCGCTGAACGAATCAATTGCGTCTTCAAGAAGTCCTCCACAGTTAATCCACCACAAGTGAATACCAAATGCCTACATAGGATTTGTTTTGAGTATAAGTTCAAGTCTTCAAGTTTGGAGGTTACAAATGCCTGTCGCCAATCCATGCCCCTCTAAGGAGTTCACATTGATGCGACTTGTCCCTATGGTTGAACTCTGAACATGACTCTTGCCGGCAAGTACAAGGTAGATTTTGAGAAGGTCGTCTTCCATAGTGCCAAGTTCACCAGTTGTTTCCCACATTTGGAGCTGAAACGAATGTGATCAGGTTGTCGTTAGTTGATGTATCTACAATGCAAAGAAGAATTAGAAATTGCGAACTGACCCCATAGCCTGCAAAGAGCGCACAAATACAGCTACGGTGATACAGTTGTCGCGCTCAGCATTTTAGAGGCGCAACAGCAGGAACGAGCTGAGAAATGCGTTTCCTGCCACTGGTTGTTTTCTTGTTGAACTGTTCACCATTGGTAGAAAGTGCAGAGAGGTTGGACTCATTCCACGCCTCTTAACACCGTCCGATTGCGACATACCAACTATATAGACTTTTTAGGATTTTCGAAACATTTCAGACAGCAGCCGCGAAATCCACAAAAAAACTTACCATCATGGCGCAGTCCCCTCGTCCAGTTTCCTCAGCCGAAAGTGCTGTCGGTATCATCAGTGCTAACATCGTCATTTCACTGTCGCTAGCGATCCTCATAGCCTCTTCGCCATCACCAGCACACATCCGAGCCCAGACTTGTGAAGCTAAAAGAAACATTGCTCCAACCGTACTGTTAGTGCTACACTGACTCGAAAAATTACAGATATTAGGGCTGCGAATATGTGAGACCAAATAATATGGCACGATCCTACCAGCTGATTTTCCAACGGCCTTGTTCGTCGGGAGAGTAGCTACTTCATCACGAAGCCAATCGCCAACATCGTATGCACGCTGCCAATGCCAGTGCCCTGTAAATAGGAATAGATCAACTGAAAACATTAAGCAGTAACATAGCTCTAATGATTTCGAAGACGGTAATTAAAGGACTCCTCGTGCAAGACTGAGATTAACGTCATCTGTATATGGGACTCCGTATATGGGGAAAAGTTTGCCCATACAGCAGCTCCTTCTCCCCCTCGAGCTCAGGCAAAAAGCCTCTCCATTACTGTGATTCTAGCTCTGCACAAGGAGTCCTTTACATGCACCTTTCACCGGCGTTAGCAGTGTTCAAAAACCTTACAAGACACTTACCAGATTTGTCAGATGGAAACAGTGCTTGACACAGACGCCACACTCTCTGTTCTGCAGCACATTCACCTAGAAACAACAAGACAATAGTCTCTTTGATTCCAGCGACAATGACCAAAGAGAATGCCTGTTGATCCATATTTCTATGGCCTCGAAATTTTAGAGACTTTTATTCTTCTGAAACTTTACTGAGAGGCACAGTCCACGATTGTCCCGAGGTGTAGAACCCCGCCTTGCACGAGGTAGGCGGGTCCGTAATCGCATACGATGCTCAAGGTTGGAAAGCGCTTTGTAAGCATACATGCCTGCAAGGACTGTTAGACTCGGCCTATAGAAGACTCCCTCCCGAATCACTCCTAAATCGTGATCGTTCCTTCAGTTTTTCCTCTTTGTCTCCAAGTCTCGCCGAGTTAACAACAGTTTTATTTAGGTTGACTATTCGTTTGCTTTCTTCTGCATTCACAGCTACCGCATAATCTTTTGCTTCGAAACCTCCTACCCTCAACTTGTAATCGCAGACTGTGTCTTCAATGTTCCAGTTGAAATGCCCACCATTTTGGCTTAAAAAGTAGAACTAACTCTGCGTTGCAGTTGCCAGAAACGAATCCAAGAGTTCTGGAGCACTGTCATCAGCCGGTTTGACGCGCGGTGCAGAAGGTTCACCCTCGATCTCACAATGTCGCACGCGTGCACTTGTTGAGGCATTTCGTCGAATTGTACGCGATAGACGCACATTGTGCTCGAGCATATCGATGATGAGTTGCTAAACAATCATTTTTTTATTGCTAGACTTATTTATTTATCGAATTGTGTGCAAGTCAGGCATCGGTATGAGAAAAAGTAAAAAAGAAAAAAGAGAGTTGAGCCAGACTACGAGGTTAAGAAGGATGCTAGTGCTGAGGAGACCTGTTCCTGGGACAAGCGTGATCACAGTACCTCCTGCGATATGTCTGTACAGACTGCCAGCATACGCCGCTTTGATGAACTATGTGAAGGTGCATTCATAACTTAAACTGCGTAGATTCAGGTAATCGCAGAAATGGTAGAATCGAAGAACCCGCAAAAAAAGATCCGTATTCACTGATCTCCAATTAAACACCTGGGCGGGGCGGATACAAAACTCCTGAGTTTCTTCGTGGTTTCCTCATGCTCCCCAATTCATAGATTTCCCCGTGCCATAATTTATGAAAAGGAGTAAGGTGCAAAGCACACGGAAGTGTAAACCCACGGGTATCAGTAAACAACGACGACCTATCCCAGTGAATGTTAGCTGTTTACTCGAACCAGAAAAATTACTAAACTTCCGGGGTAGGTCAGTTAGCAATGGATGGGATTAGGAGGACTGTCTCTGTTTGGGTTACCGTGACGCGAAATTTCCCTTTTCGCACAAAAAAACGAGTTCACCTCTCTTGAGTTCTTGCCTTTCTGAGTTTATGCGAAAATCTTATCAACTATCAATCCCACCTTCGTGCCAGGATTTTATGGATTCTCCACTCCCCCCCCCCCCATCTTCTTAGAGGATTTGTAGGCAACTTTTTTACAAAAGTTTTCATTGGGAATGTCTTAGATCTTACCTTTGGTACGTTGCTATCAAACTGGAGCGCACATATCTGGACTTCGTTTGATTTCGGTTGTAGACTAAACGAGAACTGTCCACCTGTAAAAGGGGATCAAAATACACATCATATCACAAGAGAGAACGAATTTTGAAGGTAATGGGCAAGATGGCCGAGGCGGGCATTTACTGCCAACGTCTCTGGTGGAAGAGCTGAATGGCGCGTAGCCAAACGTCTTTTCGCAGCCCTTCCACCAATGACGTTGAGGTAACCGCCCGCCCCAGCCATCGTGCCAACTGCCTTTGATCTAGAAAAGTCATGCAAGTTCTTCCGAACAAGCTAGCCACTTGCCTTGGCTCCAGCTGACACGGACTAGTTGACCCACGGGCGCATGCTGTGTTTATCATAGTGCTCTTTTTGTATCCAACAGTTTTACTGGCCTGAATTATGGAAAATGGCTGAAGAAAGGAAAAAATTCAGTCAGCGCAACATAAGGACTCTTAAAAGCACAAACCACACTTGGCACAAAACTCCTATCAAACAAACCTGGACTCCACCACGAAATACATTGGTCGGTTCGCTGCGGGTAAGCGTTATCCGACGAACAGGTCGTGCAGATAACGTTGAAAGCTCCATAAGTCGCCTAAAGCCATAAGAAAATTCTCACTTCAAACACGGTTAAATTCAAAACAACTTACTTGCTTTCTTCATAGACGTAATCCAAAACCTCTTCCATTTTCGGCTTCTTCTCTGGAACCTGAAATTCCTAAAAATGAAACCTATTTAAGTATGACCACCAAACTTAACTTGACTCAATAAAATGAAATCTCGCCTCGCTATCTCTCCAGTTAGCGATATCATAATCATCGTACATTGCATCATCATCGTAGTCCAAATCTCTTCGGCCTCCTAAGCCTACTACCTACAATGCTTCATTTAGGTTCCGTGAACAACACATGACCATAAAATCAAATTGCATGACGTTTCAATCATGAATATTATTCATGACTAACGTTCTCTAATTTTACTGAGAATTTGAAGACGGTTCCGTGCTCCAGCAATTCGTAGCTGTCCTTTCTTGTACAAGTAGTCTAGTCCCCTGTCTTCAACATTATTCCACTTTCGTGACTCAACAGTAAGGAACAAAGGCGATAGTCCCTCATTAGCGGCAGTTCTGACGCCTCCCTAGTTGTCCCGCTCAAAGAAACTCAAAGGCTATTTTCTGTCATGAGCTTCGCTTTTACACCCCACTTTTTTGTATTTTGGATGGCATCAGCATTGGATGACGCGAAGAAAAGACTAGTGAGCCGGAGGGACAGGATCCCGCTTCGCTGGCATAAAACGGCCAAGTCTGAAGAGGGGCTGTCCTTACTTAAGATGTACTTCATGATCTTTTGTTTTTTTTTCCTCCCTAAAGAGTCACTTAGCTACTATAGGTTTGTAAATGAACGCAAATGTCCACAGTCGCGACGTTTTTTTTAAGGATAAGCTAGAAGTCGACAAAAACGGCATGAATCACTGGTAGAACGTACCTTCACATCAGATATATACCGGCTCGGCAGCACGTTAACGTCCGTCTCAATGACCATCTAAATTGAAGAATTCAAGCAAATTCAAAAGCCTTCGAGTAATTTTTAAGAGCAATGAAAGAAACATTGGAACTGTATTGAAACAATGAAACTGGTTAATCAGTAAAGAAATATTTCGTTTACTTTTCGATTCGCTGTAGAACTGTGCGACTGTACAGTTGGATAACTTCCTAGAGCTTAAATAATGTGGTAATGACATCAGGAACCCTTTGCGATCAGAGAACATATTGCGCGACCAAGTACGTGCCAAGCCCTCCTGACGTTACTATTATAGTACTCTGGCAGAAGTACTGATCATTTGGTCAAGAGCTCTGGACTCTACCTCCCCAACCACTATTTGGAACCTTTAAGAAAGAAGTTCCCTTTCCCACCTCTATCCCAGACTACCACACCCACCTTCTTTCTGCTCTGTTCTACAATTGCAAAACTTTGAAATAACTCTTTATTTCAAAGCACAAAATTTACAGAATCGCCAAAACTGGTGTGATTCGCCAGGGCATCCAAAATATCGGTCATTTACGAGAACATCATTCTGTCAATTAACAACTATCAAACACGTCCAACAGGTGCAAATTTTGAAAGAACCCGACGAAATTTCGTGACAACTCAACAATGAAACTAAGTTGAAGCAACCACTGGAAGCCGTACCACTAAATTTGTTGGTAATTACATTGAAACAAGAAAACAGCTCATGTTTCTCATGACAAATTCTCAGAATCCTCCTCAAAGACAAACTGTTCACTCACCTCCGATTAAGATTCTTTCCATGTTCGAGGTAGGTGGGGTAAATGGTGGCGTGCCACTTTCTTCGGTCAAAGATGCAGGGAAATCCGGCGCTATACTCAAAATTCAGCACTTCCGTCGAAACTAATGTTCCACCGCGAAACATATACTCAGTGGTAAAGACCAACCACAAGTGAGACAAAGCAGGTAAGTAAAGCGTTTGGCTATGATTAGGCGTGTGGACGGCGGCGCGGGGTAGAGTACGAAGTCACATGGCGAGGACCAAAATGCGCGGAGGTGAGTGTATTGTTTATTTCCCA